CATTAATGTTGATATTTGTGGAAAATAAATTTATAAATTATATGCAACCGTACATAGACTTTGTTCAGCCTCGATTTTATAGAGTAGCGTTTTTTCGTCAGCCCGTTTGTATGAGCTAATGTAAACTGAATGAAAGCTGATTTTGTCTTTTTTTTTAAAACGAAACTGAACTCAAACGAAGCTAAACCAAAACAAAAACAAAGCAACAACAAACAAACCGGCAACCAGGCATAAAAGCAATTCTTTCAAAAAACAAATCAATTAACGTGACAAAATTAACTGGCAGAAGGAGTTGAATCAAAAGTGGTGAGGGTAATGTTCCGCGTGGGCGTTCCAGAATTTGACTGTGAAAGTAAATTAAAAAGTCAAGGCCATTTTTGAATAAGGCATCAGCATTATGGAATAAGAAGATCTTTGAGCAGCCATAGTTCACACGAGAAAAGTGACGTGTAGGCTTTCTTATCCCAGAGCATTATATCCCTCCAAGTCGGTTGGACTGTGCAGGGAGCAGAACGGCTGGAGTGGTCAGTACACTGGTGATCTCGAGTTCCAGTCCCTTTCTCACCAAAAGCTGAAGATGTCTCTTGTGGATCCCAGTTCGACGCCTCTGTCATGCTTGAAAACAGCCAATCGATTACCCCTTGCCCGTTAGGATTTTTAGCTGTTATTTTTTTAAAAGATAATTTGTATTATTTTATTATTATTCGAGCGGATTGCATGTAGACTAGCAAGAGCTGCCAAGCGCTTTTACTCTGTTAAGGTCCTTCCAGGTGGCTGCACCCAAGTTATCGAATGCTTAACCGCGCGAGCTTCGTGACATTCCGTACTTACATACTTTTAAACGCCATCTAAAGACGCAGCTTTTTAAGTTTGCTCATGGTTAACGGAATTTTAATTAGTTACATATCGATATTTTAGAGTTTTATTGTAGTAATGTATATATTCTTATTGTTTTTCGTGTTTTAAACAGGTTTTTTATACTTTTATTACTCATATAATGCGCATTTGATCATTTTTAGAAATACTTGCGCAATATAAGTGATGAAATTATAATTTATAATTCTAATTATTGTTATTAACTATAATTCATTTATCAGGACCAGAAGTGCAAAGGAATCCGAATTTTTTAAACAACTTAGAACAGGCACCTTTCCATACCCAGTATTCCTACGACCAGAGAAAGGTAACTTTTTCGGCCGCTACCCTTAATCCAGCGGGTTATATCCTTTTAGTGTAGTAAATTCTTCAGAGAGACTTGCAGAGTCCTCGTTTCTGTTGTGATAGTTCAACGAACAGAACACTGTTAACAGAGAGAAGAAGAAGAAGAAGAACAACAACAACAACAACGACAACAACAACAAGAGATGGACAATTCAAGAGGTCAAGGTCCGCACCAACATGCAGAACGTTGTAAGCGTGTCTTTTTTTTCGTGTTTTTAGTCATTCAACTGTTCCAAAATTACTTTTAATATTTGAAGCAGCTGGATGTATTCGTTTACAGAATCAAAGAAAAGATGACGTTGGTGTTTATTAGCAAACTCGATCAGCACACCACAACTCATACGTACACATTATTACAAGTAGATCTAGTGAATACACCATAGCAAAGTATCCTAAACCAGTCACCTAGCTGGTCAGGTGAGTCATTTTCTTAACAAATGTGAAGCAGTTGTTTTTAAAGTTTTGTCGAACGTTTGGGAATATTAAATAAAGGACAATCAGTGATAAAAACGTTTGAAAAGTCATCTTGCCTTCCGGATGCGACACCTTGGAGATTCTTACAATTAACGATGGAAATTTTTGGAAGTGTCTTTCCAGCACGTGTTATCGCAATGTTTCGCAAACGGCTGCAACCGTAAAAGTACACGTGACGAGCAGCTTTTTTAGGTTTGACACGAAGCTCTGCAAATTCCATATTGTGACAATTGTCCAGTGTTAACTTAATGATTGATTTTGTATGAACAATAAGCAGTGGTATTGATCCATCGCTGTATATTTCGCATTGCCGCAGAGTCACTGCCCCAATATCCGTTGCTTGGAGATGATAGCGTGAAAACTTGCAGTTCGTTGTGTGGAGACAATTTATGTTGTTAGCAATGACTTCAAACTCCATTGGCTCCTTACGGCAGCCTGCTTCCTCACCAATCGTTACTTTCATATTTTCAAGCTGCTTACATTTAACGCTAATTGTGCTCACATTGGGCAAGTTAATCCACACGTATTTTAGTCTTTCGCTTCGTATGAAAATAGAGCAGGTTGACAGACCACGAGGAAATCCAGAAACGTCGTCTGGAGTTCTAGTGAAAGGCTTTCGCGTAGTTCCATCGCAGTAAAAACGCTTTAAGGAAGGACAGTCGATCTTTATACTTCCAAGTTTAAACCATTGAACTTCAAACAACATAATTTTCAGTTCGCTTAGATGAGGGCACATACACCCATATAAGGTAAGACCCGTCAGTCCGCCAGTGAGAGAGAGTTTTTGTATGGTCTGATGCTCCTTCAGAAAATTTCGTAGAGCTGTAACAGGCATTTCAGGGCATGTCCATATCTCCAAATGGTTCAACCGAATCGATGTGGTCTGCAAGTTATAAACACTGTAAAGATCTCGTAAACACATGGATTCTAAGCTTGTTGAATACACAAACACAGCTGTCATATCACGGCAATTAGCTAGCTCGAATTCTCTTAAATTAGGCGTATTGCAACGAAGGCACTGCATTCTCAGCGTTGGAAGGCCATCTATACCCAGTGTAATCAGGGTGGAAGATTCAATAGACAGCAGGCTCTTAGGGTCCCGGTGAATCAAGCCAGCTCCAACGAAAAGATGGCGAAGTGACTTCATGAGTTTTAGCATTGACTGCAGGTCGTCGCTGCTGTAAAAAAGTGGACAAGTTCTAAGCTCCAAACGCGTTATCAAAGATGCGAGTCGTTGAGAAGAAGCAATCGTTCTCAAACACATATCGCGGTTGAGAATAAAATGATGGGACAGAGATGGTGTGAGTCCAAAACCTGAAAGCTCTAACTCTGTTATATTCGTCTTGTTCAGAAAAGCTGTTAAAGTGGAAGGCGGAACCGCAATAAAGTCAAGTGCAAGTTTCAAAATTTTGAGACGAGGAAATCTAAGGAGGATCATCTGTAAATGCTGAGGCGTAAGGAAGTTCTTTTTTAGTGAATCTGGCTGCTGAAACAGCCATTGTATTTTTGGTGGCTCTGAGAGAAGGTATTCTGTCAGATTCAATTCCTCCAGCGTGCCTGCGCAAGTCAAGGATTGCAAGAATCGAGGTTCCCATTCTAAAAGAGGGACATCTAAACACGTTAAATTTGACAAGTTAGGAAGAATGTCCCGTAGGCTTGGTTCTGCGAATGTTCTTGTAATAGGATGATCCCTTAAACACGTAACGTAACGTCCAAACTTCAAAAGGCAATGTCGAAGAACCTCTCTGTGCTTGGAATTTTTCGATATGAAAAAAGGATACGCTCGCGTGAAGTGTATACATTTCCAAAGTGAAGGTGTTTTTTCGATGACGGCCTTCCACCGCTTACAAACAAGCGACAGACGAGCTAAATTGTCGTAAATGGGATGTAAAAAACCGAAAATATGGTTCAGTAACTCGTTTGGAAGAGATTCCATGGCCGTCTTGAATTTCAGTTAAAGAAGATCGCGTGTACGTGCGTCATAAATCAGTTGACATCTCAGTGCGCGAGGAGTTGTTCGAACGCGCGGCCTTGGTTTGATACTGCATAATGACCTTTAGATTCGAGGACGAACACAAGGCCGGGATTTAATTTGAAGTCTTTTCAATGTCCTTTTATAACAGAAAAGATGCCTGGATAATTTTGTTTGAAGGAGTTTGAACCGACTGACACACCACTGACATTTTCCGCCAAAATGGCGCTGGTTAATGCGCGCACTTCTTTAATAGTAGTATTGAGAAAATTTCGTCCTCATAGTTGTTCTCGCCTTAGGATCTAAAGGTTAAAAATGACGGAACAAAGTAAAAATGTTATTTAACCCTTTAAGCCCCAGGAGTGATGGGCGTCAAATTTCTCCTTGTAATAACACACGGTAATAAAACAGAGTGGTCATGAGAATTAAGGACATGATCCCACATGATGAACCTAATTGATACTTCATCAAATTCTCCCCACTACTTCTATTGAAAACGCATAGGGATAACAAATGAGAATTTGAATTTTGATGTTAGGGTTTAAAGGGTTAACAGGCTATATTATCCACTAGGTTTACCAATGTTTCTGCATTACGCGGCGCCTTCTTTAACTTAGGAAAACTGTCCCGTTAGAACCATGAATTCTTGGTTCGGAAGGGCAAACTCTAGGCCAGCTTTTATTCGGGGATCACGGAGTTGAACGCGAGAAAACATTTTCCTGGGTTCTCTCTGAACACCTACGTGAAGATCTTACTAGGGTAAACGCCACTGACTCGCATTCTTTTTAAGTAATGGACATTTTTAACGTCATTTATTTTGTGTGTAGACCGTGAGTCAGGTTATAAAGGAAAATGAAACAACTTGAGCGGTTTGTTAACGACAGACTTGCTTTGTGTATGTTATATTTTTAACACAACTAGAATTTCACCTGGATCTTCTTGGTCCGTCGACAAGTCACAATATGCACGACCAGAAAAAGGCCTAGTCTATCAAGGAGTTGTTCTTAGGGCTTTGTCAAAGTTTTATTCAGCAGCACCGCGCTAACAGCGAACCTCGAACGTCAGTTAGCCGTTTGTCGTTTGCTGTTCCGTCTACTGTGTTTGCTTGTTTAAACTTCGCATCAACACTGCAGAACTGGAATTAAATATTTCAGACCCTCTTTATTGAAAAGAAAACATGGCTTTAACAATAATTACTACCAGGAATGCCCCATCTTACAGCTTACTTGGAATCATTGACACGTCATAAAAATCACAAAATATCAAAGGTTAGCCACTAAGCTATTCCACTCGCCGACGATTCGTACATGAAAAAGGAATATTTACAAAAATTACAGTTTCGAATCAAAGCACAACATATCGTGTAACAAAATCAACGAGTTAAATTAAATGTCTCCTTGGAAGACCGCTCTGCATATGTACGTGGGCTTCTGTAAAGGCTTGTTATCTCCCGCCATGTGCCTAAAGCGAGTATGTAAAAGAAAATGCGACGACAACATTACAAAAGCCCTTTTCCTCTTCCTATCGACCAACGCGCGCTTATTTTTAAGCGTGTCTTGTATTCCTTTGTTTAATGATAAGGGTCTTCGGGAGGAGAGAGAAAGGCACTATGTATCCTGATTTTGTACTGAATCAAACTCTGGGACTCCCCTCATCATGGACAGCACCATAATTCCCGAGAGAGTTCAGAGGCTCCCTCAAGTCGCTGCTTTGTCTCTTCACGCTCTTATGACGGCGCCAGCCAATCACCATAACAGCAATCAACAATCCAGCCAATGCCGTGACGCCAAATGTAATACCCGCCGCTGTCCCAGCATTCATGCCATGACTGGAACTCTGGGAAGACTTCTGTTTGTCATATGTAGCTGGAGCTTTGTCGCCTGTGGCTACTCCTATAATGGCGGGACCTTCCAGGTTTACCTGTTTTCTATATGCTTCAACGGTGCTAAGTAAAAAGAAAGGAGCTTTAATGAGATGAAAAGTAAGCTATAAACACCTAGGCATATATATAGAATTCTTTTACCAGATTTTCCTAACCTGAGACCCGTTCGCCATCAGAAAGAAAACTAAATTTCGAGACAGTATTCGTTTCTAATCATTAATACAACCGAATAGAAAAAAATTTCATTGTAACTCATCCGCAGCTTACCAAACAAACGAAACAAATTCACTCGATATTGAGTGAGTTACGCGCATATAACATATAATCGCTCGCACATCGCCATAAACCATGAGTTGTTTTTGGAACGGGAACAATCGAAAACCACTGGGGAAAAATAAAAGGTAATAAAAGGTTTAAAATAGAGATGTTGTCCAATAAAATAAATATAGGGAGAAGCCATTTTAGTTTTTTTTGTCTCAAGGGTTTCCTCTCGAAAATACACTTCTATACCTTAAAAAGACCGAAGTGCATGCCTCTCTCCACCTACAGCTGTATTAACAAACTTAATTTTGTATCAGCATTACCTTTTCGTCGCAAGCAACCATTGTGGTTTATTTCCTGAGGGTTTAAACCAAATTTGACCATTGTCGTCGTTAACCAACAGCATAGGCACAGAGTAATTGAGAACTTTCGGCGCATCAGAATAGGGGGGTCTCTTGATGATTGGTAACCCGTGGCTGTTGAATACATTAGACTTCACGCAAAAGTTTACCTCGCAATCTTGTTCGATGGCACCCAGATGTTGAGAATAACCGGTTGGACAGGATTTCGGCCAACCAGATGGACCGGATTGGCTTACAAACATCTCCAAATTTGAACCACCTGTTGAAAAGAAAAAGTTAAAAGTTTTAATAAGATGACCAGCTAGTCACAGCTGTCTTTTCGGCGGCGGCGGCTTTTCATATGTACCGGGGTCAAAGTCAGGGGATTGATATTGTATTATTATATGGCTGTATCCGCAAGCGGGTAAGATAAAGAGAATCCTTTGTTCTGATTGGCTACCCGAGCAGGCAAGAAGGGCCCATCTGGCCTGCTCGGGATTTCCCTTGTCGGTCCCGCAACAAAACAAGTTGGCATCGTTTCTCTTTGCGTTTTTATCGACCTCTTCGTCTCGATTCATAAATACGCAAAAAGGAACTTATGCTTGGCCAATATTCAGCCATCTTGATTCTTGACCTAACAATCTTGGTTAATAATGTATAAACAGTATACATCTTGTGTCGAAGATCATGATAATACACTGTGAATTTACTGAACGTTGTGAAAGTTACCTTTATTGTTCTAAGCATTTGAGAACTGAAACTGAAGAATTACCAGCACCATTTGCCAAAATAGATTTACCTGGGAGTAAAATTCCATTAAATACTGAAAATGAAAAACGCTCAGACGTTTGGAGCTCGGTGGAACCCTTATCATCATTACAGCTGGTTCTTAGGCGGCACGCGTGGCGTTATGGGAAGGATACAGGGTAGCTACTGGCTTTTTTATTGGCAGCTGGCTTCTTGAGGGCTGTTCGCGATCGCATCCTTTTCAAAGTTAAGTAAGTCTCTTATGACTGACATATTTGTGCGTCAAATTGAGTTCTTGCCCGCCAGATTTTTTCTTCTGGCAGCTATAAATCATATCCTGCTGACGGCAGTGTTTAACGAGGAACATACTAAAGGATAAAGTTTCTTAAAGGAACTCAATCATTTAACATGACTTGTTAATTACCTTGTTTAACGCTGTCTGAGGACTTTTTGACGCCCAGAGGATTACCGGCACTGCAGCTGAAGAAACCACCAAACGGAACCGAACTCTGAAAGCCAAGCTCATAGTCATCACTTACGCATACTTGCATCGTAGCTCCAAAACGCAGTGCATAAAACTTCAGTGGGCAGCTGTGATCTTGTGTGACTGGATTCTTAAGCACCTTGCTGTACAGCCCCCCAAAAAGATATCCTGTGTTGGCAGGTACCTTGCCCTTCGCTACACACCAGTAAGTCGAATAGGTCGCGTACCCACAGTTTGTATTGCAGCAGCTAAAGAAAAGCCAGCAGCTGTGACAGTCTCTGTGGCAGCTTTGAGGAGTGCGTCCCTGATGAACCAATACAGGCTCATACTCATCGCTACATTTATAATCAGCAGTAAGTGGGTTCTTTTGAAGCAGGGGCCCACACGGATTACCTGCCGGAGACCCAGCGAATGAGCACGTTTGATATACGCCACCGAAAGTGTAATTGTTTGTGGGACTTTCACAAGATCCATCATCGAGATTAGCGTGAAAACTGAAGTTAGGCGAGTCCATTTTCGTACATCCCTTGATAGTGTTGTGCTTATAGTATTGCTTTATGGCGTTTTCAACGACGTCAGCCAATTTAAAAGTTAACTCCTCCGACATCTCAGGAAGACTTCCGGGGGTTACAGCGTAATGCAACGGGTCACCTGACCTGTCAACTGCTACAAGCTCGTCTAGCAATTGATCTTCCCATTGATTTATGGTAAAGTTAACCCTGAAAGGTGGCCCACCAAATGTATACACAGTTGAGTAAACCGTGTTCTTCGTGTACTGATCTAGATCCTGTTTATCGCTCGTCTGACTGTAGCTAGCCTTAGCGCCAAATGCTCCAAAAAAGGACGCGCTTGCGGCTGCGGTGATTTTACTCTTATCCTCTGTAAAATCAGCAACAAATTTTTTCGTCAAGTGGTCTACCTTTGAAAGAACCGCACCAGCATTGACACTAGTGATAAAGTGTGTTCCGAAGTCGCGAACCAGTATCTGCGCCAAAAAATTAGCGTAGGCGGTGTTGTTGTGCTGTAGATGGGACGCGATTTCAAGTAGACGCGATTTAAACGCAGGCTGGAGAGCGCTATCAGGTTGAAGTTTGGCGGTGTACAAGACGTGACGCATTTGAACTCGAGTTGTTACAGCTTTGTCTTCCACTTGATGCTTCTTAACTGATTCGAACTCGGATGAAAACGAACCGCTAATGGAACCAAACCCAAACTTTCCCGAAGCTTCGGCGTTGATCGATTTTGTGGTGGTCGAAGAATAATTGTTCCAGTGATCGTAAAGTTCGGCGAACGTTTCAACTTTGCTTTTCTTTACAGGGTAAAGAAAAACATCGTCAGGGATCAAATACTTGCCATCGTCAGAGGTTTTACACTCTGAGTAGTTATTCGTCACAGAAACAGCTCCCATGTGCACATTTCTTAGGTTGTCCCATCCGCCTCCCGGAAGAACCTCGAAACGGAAAACTCCTCTCGTTAAAGGGCAGTTTCGTGGATCACCAACAGGGTAATTAAATAAAGAGGTATTTTCGGCGAAAATAACATCACAGTAATAAGCACAAGGCAGCAGCACAAAAAGGTATAACCCGCTACTGAACGCCATCATGGTATTAAAGATTTTGCCGATACCGCTTCCGTTTTAAAAGCAAAGAAAAACGTCATGTGATTGTCACGCGATATGTTTTGGTTTCATAAACGGTCCTTGTGCCGTTCCAGCGCTATTACAGTTCGTTCCAGTTAGTTGGCTGTTAGTTTCGCTTTCAACAAATGTTTTTTGTTTAAATAATTTACATAAGACTACACTTCAAGTTCTTGACTGCCTTTCTTTGCGTCCCTTAACCAAAGCTCCTTTTCACGGACAGTTTTATCCGGCGAAACTCCTCGACTTTATGGAAAGCGGAAGCCGGATTAAAAAAATCCGATTTGTCCGATATGCTATCACCGTCATCATATTCAGACGATTATCTCGTGTTTTTAAAATGTAATAATAATTTTGCGAGAAATATAATTACGATAAATAGGTCCAAAAAACTGAAAGGTCATTTCGGACTACAAAACTACACAACATGTATACAAGAACGCTCTAGGGTCCACTAGTTATATACGGTATTTTTTTAATCTTAGTTTTGTCAGATTCTTTCAATACGATCTGCTGCAGAAGGATAGAAATTTTTCTGTTTCGCTTTTTTTGGCTTGTTACGTGCAACTTGACCTTTAGTTCACTTCACGTGGGTTAAATATTTTTTGTATAGAAGATCTCCCTTTCTTACTAAACTTTTCTTTCACTTTCGAAAGAAGGTTTTTAAGGACGTGCCTAAACATGTTTGCCCCGATTTTACGGGAAGTTAGAAGGGTCTATTCAATTCTTTTAAAATCTCTTTCGACATAGACAGTATTCTCCTTTCCTATAATTTAGTAAAAAGGAGAAACCGGCGGGGAAAGGAAGTTGGTGGCTTCCCACTGCAGTTCACTGACAGAGATTGAACTTGTGCTCGCCTGGACAAGCGCCTAGTTACGCTACTCGCGGGCCTCATGCTTCGTAACTGATATTGAAAGCCTGTTATAAATGTTTACAAAAGAAACAATATGGGGCGAAAAGGGTAACCATGTTTATGAACCTTCGGGAGGCCTCAAAGGTCTCGTGACTGTCGTGACACATTTAGAAATATTGGTCTGCCTGTTTCCACGAAAAGTATACAAACGTCATGTGACCTGATGGCGGGAAATTTCCTATTCACATCCCCCGGTGCATTATTAGTTTGCACAGTGAATGGCGGTTTTATGTTTTACTTGAGTATCTTCTAAGATTTCTGTACTCCATCTCTTCAACAAAATGCTTTTATCTATCTGAGACAGAGTTATGACACGCAAGGTTTTTCAAGATGATTGCGACCAAATTGTATTCCTCATCGATTCGAATCCTTCGTTTTGGGGATCTAACTTTTCATCCGTGGAGGCAGCGAACGCCATTCGATTGTGCGTGTTAAAAGTTCTCACTTACTTTGCTGATTATGGCAAACGAAAACGATCAAGTCTTCGATGGGGATACAAATTCTTCAGTTCAAGATCACTCTTACATCAGTTTGAAAGACACGAGTTCAAGGAATTCACTGTGACTGTCTTTGAAGAGTTTGAAACTCTGGTGTGTAAAAAATTAACCGAATCCTTTGCCCACGATTTGCAAGGAAGCCTTGTTGAACATAATTCTCAGGATGGAGACGAATCGACAAGACGTAAGAAAGCGCCAGCTGCAGCTAAATGTATATCTTGTGCTTTTACCAATACAGTACACGATTTCCAGTGGGAGAAACCTGATTTAAGTTCACCCATAAGAAGAACGCGTGAAAACAATGCCGAATCGCTTCATGGCAACTGTAGATCAAAGATGCAAAATGTCATGTTTCTGTTGAGTGGTTGCCCTAGCGATGAATTTGCAATCTCATACTTTACGGGGGAAACTTCATCCTCACTAGCAACGTTAGAAAGTTTGAATAACATTTTAATGCCCCCAGTGTTGAACAAAGAATTTAAAGACAGGCACATTACCTTGCAGTGGATAAACACTGGAAATAACCAATATGAGAAGGTATTGAATGTGTATAATGTTTGTTTATTATTTGTTTTACGTCAGCTCGCTCTGCCAGCAGAGACTTTTTTTTTTCGCTTGCTCGATTTTGGTGTATGTGAGAAAAACTCTGCATGAATTGAGTGAGATCTTTGTCGAGCATGGGTTTCTTGTTGCTAAGATACCATGTTGAATGAAGGCCTAATTGCCATGTGCTTGGTACAGCAAGCTCAGTTACGACCAATAAATTGTTGATGAATAAATGGATGCTCACACCGTTTGATGAGAGAAAACAAGTTGGCTACTCCAGAAGTTTGAGCTGCAGCGATTTCAACATCCTCGGAGACCCAGGGGCAGATAGTAGGGGTGAGGGAAAGTCTAAATGGGCGGAAAAATAATGCACAAAGAAAAGTAAAGAACGGCGAGAAGAGCCCCTGGGGACAATGTCTTACCAGACCAGTTCCAAACGGTCGCTGCCGTTCTGGCTTCTGATTGGTGCCAGAAAACTTGTGTTTTAATTTTAATATATGCTCTTTCAGCTTGTGCTAACAAAATTTTTCAAAAGTGAACTGTTTTTGTGTTTACCAAAAGTTGATCGAGTCATGCAAAGAGCCTGTTATTTTACCTGTCCCTAGTAACTGTAGTCCCATAAGTCTTTGTGAATGTTAACTCACCCCAGTTTCCTTCTCATTTCTAAAGTAGTGAATTGGTGGTGAAAACCAGGCTGCAAATAATACAGCGTAGGATCCCACCAAAACTCTTAGCAGCTATTGTACAATGATACATGTATATACAAATGTATTATGTAACAAGTCAAAAATAAATTCAGGTTAAATTTTTTTCACCTAGGTTGATTCCCAATTTCTTTGTTCCTTAGCCCTATTCATGAAGGATATTATTAAGGCTAGGAGACAAAGAATACAGAGAATCAACCTAGGTTTTTTAACAAAATTTACTTGAATCTAATTTTGACCTACACTGTATACATATTGTTGGTTTTCACGTGATGTCACTAAAATTCAAACTAAAAAATTATCAATCTTACCGAGATTTTACTTTCGCGATGCATTAGAACAGCTGAAAACTAATTTCATACAAATTTTCGCTTCAAAAGAGTTTGGTTTTGTGATAGAGTGCGCTTGAATTTCTAAGTTTTTGCGTGACGCGGCAATTACATGAGGGCAAAGAGAGCTGTCATGTAGGTTAAAAAAATGACTTTTTTCAGGAAAGGTTTCTATGCAAACAGTTCATGTATTAGAAAAAGTATTACTTTAATGGTTATGAGTTTCTTGAATAATAAATTCACGCTTTTGTAGCAAAACTCGGTAACAGATGTTTTTGTTGGTTTCTGTCCGCCATGTTGAAACTCATCCAGGTGAGCACCAGCATGGCGTCTCTGTACAAATCTCTATAAGTTTGGGTAAAACATTTCTTTGGATATCTCGTATACGAAGTATTCCTCTGACCTGACTCTTGGTAAGGGTCTTTGTATATGTACCTCCTTTCATTTCCCGAATTCTGGACTTTATCTGTTGAACGGTTTTGATTTTTATTTTGATCTATTTTGAATGGCGTGACGCTGAAAACCAGCAATACAGTGACTAAAATGTATGCTATTCTATTTTATAGAACACAAACATGATATCACTTTTGGAATCTTTTGTGGAACAGCTTGGTGGATGCGTTATCCCTCTTTCTTCAGTGATTTATAGTGGTAGTTTTTCCTCGCTTGGTCCTGATTCAGTTTCTCAGAACCAATCCTCTTGTCATGAAGTTAAGAAGACCTTTTGTACTAGTGGACCTTTATTTCCTTCTAAAACTGTTATGGATTTCTTCTTGGCTGGAAAGACTAAAAAGTCTTCAGATTTTAACCTCGCTCAATATCATTTTGAAGGGAAGACGAGTCATTCAGGAACTACAGCATTAATGTGTTCATCAGGTAAATTATTTTGGATTGCATTTTTTTACTGCAATAACTCTGTTCCTGCATCTCTGCAGGGCTTCTAATATTTCAAGCAGTCGCAGGGCCACAAAATTCAGGTAAATCCGAGAAATTACGCGAAATTCACAAAAACACACGAAATACTGTGAAATTTGCTAGAAATCATATCAAATACATGTCTGTACACCATATTTGAAACTAATCTTGGCTATTAATTAGGGCTGTTTACTTGCTGTAAACTTACAAATTTAACTTGAAACTTTGTCACAGAAATGAGCAAACAACGTCCCAGAACTACCAGGCGTAGATTATGTTGCGAAAAACTGGGCACTAGCCATGATTTAAAAAACTTTGCCATTGGTTCATTTCTCGATGGTATTGTTGAAAGATTGAATGATTATCTCTATTTAAAAAAAGGTTAAAAACACTGGTCAGATTGTCGCAAAACTGATCGATTCTTGGCAAAATTTGCCCAGAAAATTCCCACAAAATCAGACATATTTTAATGATTGTTTCTCAGTGAAGTTTACCCCAAAAATTACTGCGAAAATCCTGCAAAATTGACCGATTTTTCCACGAATTCGTCCCTGAAAATCCCGCAAAATTTGACTTTTTTCTCCGTGACCTTTCAGAAGCCTAGTTAATGGGTGTTGAATGGTTGCATTTTCTCTCAGCAAAGTGGGTATTTTGTACAAAAAATCAACTCCTTTGCTTAAATGATAACTGTTTTTGATATAACTGAAATTACATGTAGCCTGAATCTCAGTCATTACTTCAAGGTGCTTATACTCCCTCAGTAATGTCTGAATTGATGAGCTGTTAATGCCATCTGGTGACCCCTTGTGATAAGGGACAAAAAAATGCATACAGTGTAATATTGTCCTGTTCAGGATCCGTCAGGATTGCTGGATTGAGGAGATGTTTGGTCAAAGAAAGCCTGCTGGGAACTATCCTTATAAAATGCTTGTAAATCAAAGGAAACACTTGACAATTCAGCAAATGAGTCATGATTCAAACCAACACATGTAGATAAAACCGTTTGTGTTTATTTGGATTTCTATTTCTTAATTTTGTATATAGGCATTGATGATAAAATCCACTGTTCTGTGCTACTGAACTCCATGCTCAAGCCCACATCAGTTCTGCCAAACCCAAGAAGCTTTCAGGAAGTTGCTAATGTTCTTAATGATGGGCCAACCAACAGTTTAACTGCAAACAACACTACTGAAACATTTCACTTTCCCACTCTATTGTGGATCAGAGGAGTGATAAATCACAGTAGTATTTGTCCAACATGGCTGCATCCTTTGAAAGCATACACATGTATTGGTTTGGAGTGTACACAGAGTTATGAGTCAACAAACTCTGCCTCATCCCCCATGAGGCCCCTCTCTGGGTGGTTTCAAGAACTCTTACTTGCCTTGGCAAAAGGCAACAAACTTCTGGTATGTAAAACATTTAACTTACCAAAATCCTCTATTAAGTTCCCCCTCTCAAATAAGCTCCCCTTCTCTTATAATTTATGCCATGAGGGAAGTTAGTTACTAAGCCCCCCTCCCCTCCCCCTATTATTATTCACTAATAGATTTTAGACTGTATTAATCATGACTGTAAAACTTTGTGTGGATTGATCTAGGGTGGTTCATGCAGCCGAGGATCGAAAACGAATCCGAACTTTCAGCTGGTGAATAAAGTGGTTTATTCACTAGCTGGAAGTTCGGATTCGTTTTTGATCCTCAGCTGCATGACTTCAACTTCTTGGAGTCAAGCTTTTCCACTTTGCCTTCTGAAGAACCGATACCATCACCTTTCCTAACTTAAATGAGCTCCTGCCCCCAAATGTGTTTGAAATAAATAAGTGCCCTGGGGGGCTTAATAGAGGATTTATTGTGAAATATCCATAAATCCATAGATAGATTTACGGTAATACTTACACAGTGCTCTACATGTACATTGTACAGTCCAATTTTGGTTAATATAAATTGTTGCGTTCAAGGTACAAGAACGCAAGGTTCCCCTAATTTGTGTTGGGTGTTCTGTGCATTATTCGGTGTCCTGTGCAATTAATAAAAGAGGTTTTTTTGAGATTGCATTTTCGTCGGCGACACACATTTGCCTCGCTTTGAGGCGCTTGCTTACGTTTTGCCTCACTTTGACACGCTAACCCACGTGGTGATTCTTGTGTCCTCGGCGTTCATCTTTCAAAGGTTTGCTGAGGTCTGATATTCTGTCTTCGTAAAGCGTTCATCTTTTAAACATTTGCTGAATCTTCGGAAAGCGTACATCGATCTGTGTTTGCTCAATTGTCCAGAGCGTTCATCTTTCAGAAGTTTGCTGTTAAATTTTACTTTGGACTAAGCCTTCATATTTTTCAGCATGGTTCGTAACTGTCTTTGGAAAATGTCTGTGACTCCTGGTGCACGCATCAAACCGGGTTTAGTTCGGCGGCCGTTGTGCCACAAAGTAAATTTACCGAGTTGTGTAGCTCGGTGGCCGTTGTGTCACAAAGTAAATCTACCGAGTTGTGTAGCTTGGCAGCTGTTGTGCCACAAAGTAAATCTACCAAGATGTGAAGCTCGGCGGCGCCATTTGATCATGACTTGTAATATTTTCGGCACCGGAAAAACGAACACTTTAACTATATGTTATTTATTGGGAAAAACTTATAAACCAGACCAAAGTAGGGCCACTGTCGAGTCACTGAAATCAACATGCTCGACCAAATTACTGGAAAAGTTATTGACGTGAGCCGCACACACATTCCATTGTTCCTGCTTGGTGCGAAGTTTGAATTCAGATGTGAAAAAAGCTTTTAAAACAGTAACTTCAATTTAATTCATTTTGTCAACAAGTTGATGATTGGATGCTCTTAAAAATAGCAGAGAAAATTATCCAAAGAAATGTTTTTAAGGAAAGAAAAAGAATTCCAGGTTAAGCACTAATTGGCCTTTGAGCAACTGCGTCCTGTAATCGCGCCAGTAAAACAAACTGTTCTATTTACACGCCGGACGCACTCTGGCCATTGTCTCCTCCTGTTACAAGCACTTGACACCGGACCATACGATATCCTTTCAAAACCTTCTTATGATGATACACAGTTTAAATAGAGGTTTCAGTGTACGCAGCCCTTACGTTCAAAATATGCCATAATCATAATTATTTATCTATATCGCAACCACCCTTCCCCCTAAACTGCTACCTGTACGCCTAACAAACATATCGAACGCACTCTCCTAAGCTCCTATTACTCCTAGTTACAGTATAGTGGATGGAAAAATGTGGGCCCACTTCTGTTTTGGGCTGTTTCATAAGATGCAACTTGAAATATTGATATACAGGTGTAATAGACCTTTCCCGCATTCCAGTGAACAAAGGCACCAACTCGAGGCTCGGGTGGACAAAATACAGTGATTTGTATGAAACTGTCCACCCGAGCCTCGTCCTCATTTCTTTGTGTTTGTTCACTGGAGCGTAATGCGGGAAAGGTCTATAAGCTTAACATAAGTATACATGTAATGTAGATAAATGATAATTACCAAGTTTTCTCCATGCAGATAAATTGATCTGTAGTGTGAAATGGCTATAAAAAAACGTTCTGCCAATTTTTGAGAAAAAAACATGTATCTGGTTTTGGTGAACGCCAAAAAACATTCTGGGTGCCTCCATTGGGATGATCTGATTAGGATCAGTGTGTCTGAGATCAATCAGAACATAACACATCAAAAGAACTGAGGAATCCACCTGGAGACCCATTGGTTCATTTGACGTACCATGATGCAAGTGATTTTGGATAACTGATCCTGATCCAGATCATCCCAAAGGCATGTATCCTCTCTCCTTCAGTTTATGACTGTGACAGGCAGCTTGCTGTAGCTTTGAAGGAGGTGAATAGGCAACAAGAAAGTAATGCATTTTAGTTGTTTTTCAAGTCCTGTTTTTATGTGTATTTTATTTAACAGGTTATTGATTTCATTGACTGTGACAGTGGTTTACCAGTGAGTGGTGCCCTACAACCTTTAACTTCCATCTGTGGAGTAATAAGTGTCATCTCCTCAGAATTTCTTGTGATGTTTGAAAAGTTCCTTCTGTGGGATGACAAAACTGCTCTGCTTGACAAAGAGAATACTGAAGGCTTAGAAGCTTCAAGCAAACTTCTCAGTGGATGCAAGATAGCTGGACAAGCTGCTAAGCCAAGTGAAGTTTTTTTTACGATTCCCAGATCTGAAACAAGTCAGCAAGGTAAATGGATGTGTTAATAATACTTTTAATTATTATATTTAAAGTACCCTTGTTGGAAGCAAAATCATTTTCAAAGCTGCTTATAGTCAGGTGTTATGTGCTTGTTTTTTCATATTGACATTACTTTTAGTAAAAACTGGTCTGTGAAACAAGACATGTTACAACTACATGTACCTGACAATTTGTGTGCATTAGCTGGAACTGATGTGTTTGTTAGCAGGGTTTGTGGTTAAACTTTTGTTACTAAGACTTTTGTTTTTAAATCATAATTTCAGGTTTATGTGTTTTAAATTATTATAAGATCTTCGCTAATTCGTAATCTTGGCAAATTTTGTATTCTGATTTTTGCCTTACGTGTAATTTTACCCATTGGATATCTGTAAACTGGCCATATGATTAACCATCTTTACCACATAAAATAAAGTGTATATGTCTATTTCTTAAACTACACAGTATGGTGTGGCTCACGCCAATCAGGAGAAGGGAATTTATAAGTACTTATCGAATGACAACAATTCTCATTGATTAACCTCTTGTAGATGCTGAAGCAAATGAGGAAAGACAATATGAAGCTGGGCTTCTTGATCCATGGATATCTTTTCCTGTTTTTGATAGTAAGGATGGCTTAGGTTGGGGAGAATCAAGAGGGTGAGTAACAATTGAACAGAAGCTTTACAACAGCTAGTTGTAAAGAGGATAAAAACACAGTCTTGAAAGCAAGATTAGACTTACATGTAGACTTAGATTATGGATTAAGGGAGAAGGATTGACACAGTTGGCCAGTGTGTGGCATTCTGTGCAAAAGGTTCAGGGGTCAATTCCCAGGTGCGACCTCAAACCTTGTTTCGACTTCTTAAATATGTACCTTTCATTTTACAGTACAGTACAGTACAGTACAGTAGCTTTGAGTAGCATAAAATACTTGTAAAAGGAGCGCTAATGAAGATATGGAGTGTGGGTTGAGTTCAGCCTCAGGTTTGTTGGTCAGATGATGAGTGTTTCGCTCTGCCAGTGTAAGATAAGGACCCTTTAACCAGTTATTACAAGAGGTTCTAATTTCATCCTTAAGACCATGACATAATTTTGCACCTAAGGTCCACATTCTGTTAGATACCTTGTGCATAGAAGTAAGTCTACACCTGTACGGTTGTTACACAATGTAACTGTAAGTAATTAGGGCAAGAGAACTAAGCATTGATGGCAAGGCTCTCTCTACTGGCTGTGTTAATTTCCACCATTTTTTTAAACAAGTAAGGCATTATTTTGTGAAGTTTAAAGCAATTTATCAGTGAATATAATATTCACAGGTCAGACAACGAATCAGAAGAAGGAGGTGATGATGAGAGCAATGAGGCATCTCTTATGAAACAACTAAAGATTCTTTACAGTAATAAAGAAGAAAAGCAGAAATCTTTGGTCCTTAGAGAAAGAAGATCACCGAGGCATAAAAAGGAAAAATTGGCCACTCCAAAGAAACTAAAATTAAAACGAGATTCACTGAAGCTAAGGTAAGGTTTTGATGGACTTTTGTTTAAAAATCTCAGTAACACAACGGACATTTAAATCGTACAAAATGTAGTTATCCCATAGGACAAAGGAGAGTAAAATGTTACAAGTTAAAGAAGACAAACTCGGGGCTACTGTGACATTTATCTTGACGTCAGAGTTGACTTTATCTTGGCATCTGCAATTTTTTTTGTCTAGAACCCTAATAGCTTTGCCCTTCTGCAGGAATGAATGATCATTAAAGCCCTTCCATAAAGCTAACAAAAATTACTGGTCATTACTGTATAAATATATTTACAAAGGCAAAAACAAGAGTACATCCACGTACATGTAGTTGATAAACTTGGTAAAACGTTTCTCCTGATTCTTTTACTGTATGTTATGAAAAGGAGCTTTTTATAGTTTAATAAACCCCCTTCATTTTATTGCTTGCAAAAAAAATGGGAGTAAGAAACATTGGAATTAGGTTAAACTTTTTGTTGATCACTAGTACTTGTGAGGTTTAAATCAGAGGTCAGTATGGGACTAGCAGATGCCCAAGAAATGGGAAATAAATATGTAATTAATTGTTTTTGTTTTGATAGTGCAAATGTGATGGAGGAAACAGAGAAAGTTGACCAGGAAGGTGTTATACCTGTTCAAAGCATAACACAACATTTTGCTGAGGGGAATATAGAATTATCAGGTGACAACTGTGATGTCACTGGGGAAGTCAATATGACAGGTGATACCAATGAAATGGAAGAGCTTCCAGAGGAAACAAAAGGTACTGGTATATACTATAGCTACATTGTAAAGGGGTAGGCACTCCAATCAAACCATATGTGCCATAGGGACATACAGCCTGTAATAGTTGTGGCCTTCAACCATTTACACTGTATATTGCAGTGGGACCTCAATTTAACGAACTTCTTTGTCTATAAAACAAAGTTCTTGGTATGACGAATGATTATTCTTTTTACTCCATTAATAGTAAAATATATGAAAAAGAACTTCGATTTAATGAAACATTGTTACAGCAAACAAATTTTACCAGTCCCTTGGCCCTTGTTTGTTATGGAGGTTCTAGTGTAGTTTAATATCTGCCAATCATTTTCTGCCCTGGCAGCTACATGTATAGTAGGTGTGTATTGCTAGATACATTTTAGAGAGTTTCATTTACTTACTGTCAAAGTCTGAAAACTGTGAGCACCTTAAATGAACATAATATATCAGGAATGTTGACTGTGTAGTGACTGGTCTAAAGGGCAGCTACCGGTATATATCTTGTAAACTGTCTTTGCAAATGTCTGTATTTGAGGACAGACCAATATCGTACCAATGTTGACTACCTTCTTGTTTTCGTGGTTGACCTTTTTCATTGGGGTAATGCGACAAAAATACAGTTAAGCCTATATGAAGGGTTAAAGCTGCATTTATATAATATTATTATGCATTAAAATTGTTCTTTGTACAATGTATGTAGTGTAGTCTTAATGATTATCTTGAGAAAAGAAATACTGATTGCTGTTATCTTTAATTTTATTCTGAGAAATTTTTGACATGTACTTTTTGTAGATGAAGTTGAGCTGGTTAAAACCATCGATGGTATATGTAACAAAGTTATTTTTGAGGTAAGGAATAAACAACACAGTTATGAATTATCTTACAAGTACAGTGTAGTACTCTCAACGTGGGTGAATAAAGCACCGGGGTTTATAATATACATTGTATCTTAAAACTTCTGTATACACTGTATATTTGCATTGACTTTTCAGCAACTTTGAATAGTGGTATATGTAAATTTTCCTTGAAGCAAGCAATTTTACCGATTTTGGAAGATATAATAGAAGGGATTCCTGAAAAAAGGCATAATTGGCTTATCACTGATAAGCAAATTACACCCTTTTTTCAGGAAACCCTTCGCATATTAAATAGAGGGTATTCAGCAATTTGGAGGTGTACAGATATGACTAAGGTGCTGCAACTTGAACCCTAACCCTAATCCTAACACCTTCAGTTACACACACACCCATACCTGCAAAAGAAGCCCGATGCAAATTTAAGGTCATTGCTACGGAAGCTACTTCCCAGTAATAGGCTAATGATTGAGGATATGCTGCTGGATGTGATCGCATTTTCATGACTAGATTCATGACACTAGTAACTAGTGAAATAGTGAGATTTCTGGTAAACTTTACCGATTGGTTGTTTATGTTCTATTTAATTGGGGGGTCCACGTACTCATTTAGGAGCAGTAGAAACTTCACGTAAACGAGAAAATGAAGATTTACTTGCCCAGTAAGAATACTGATTGTCTCAGAGTAGAGTAGCAAAATTTGAATGATAGAATTTTATATATATCTTAGTGTCCTATCCCTGCATCACTACTTACAGCTTATGGCTACGTGATTTAGGGTTAGTGGGCTAATTTATACTTTGTCAGTCTTGAAACTCTCATGAAACGCTTGTTCCACTTGACACCCGCACTTCCTCCCATCTAATCTTACATTCCTGAAAGCTTTCCCATAGACTATTCTCATCGAAATAAAGGCTAGTAAATGCTCAGAAAAAGAAGAACAGGTTTAGAAAAGCGAAAGAAAAGGAGAAGGGAGAAAGTGAAAAGTTAGGTAAGAGTCAAGAATCGAAAGTTTGCTTTTTGCACATGCCCAAAATTCTGAAGCTGATATTTTACATGTTGAAAAAAGCCGCGAAGTGCTCGACCTGTAAACGGCGTTTTGGACAGTTTTGGCTGTTTATAGCTAGAGAGTGACCGCAAAATAGTTCGACACTAGCTTCAAAACGCTTTTTTGTAGGCAAAATTTCCAGGAGCGAATGGGTTAAGTAAAATTAATGTCAAACTCTGATCCGTGCTGTTTTTTTTCACTTTTCAACCTGTTTAGGGAGTAATTATTCCCACGGAAGTCAGCAATATAATGACAGCTGTTTCGAAGTTTTATCAAAATGATGATAAAGACAGACAGAAGGTAACGTGTAAATGGTTACTTCACTTTGGACATCATGTTTATGTGTTTTTTGTTTATGTTGTGAAACAACGATGCTGAGGGTTTCAAAGAAAGATCTGTTATCTCTTTCCTCCTTTCCCCACCCCTACCCCCTTGTGCTTGCGGTCAATAAATCCCCGCGGTTTTTATATAGAGAAAATAGACGGTTCTGTGAACGGGTTATTTTGTTACTTACATGTTGTCTTGCTACCTTGTTTCAGGATAATGTTTCACAGTTTTTGAAGGAAAACGTGCTCCAAACAATATCGAGACTGAGAGAAAAATATGAAGGGTGTGATACTATCCTAAGGAAAGAACAGCAAGTTAGAGAGTAAGTTGTATATTAGCTTTTAACGCAGAAGTGTAAATTTAACAAAATGCCAAATGACAAACCCAACCAGCGCTGTTTACATGTCTAGAGATCTACAGCCGGTAGAAACTACTACATAACATAATTTTTAGCTGAAGGATGTAATTCAAACTTTTATCTTCTACACTGTGCCTTGTCCCGTGTTTTCTAATACGTTTTATTGCATGTCAATTACATTGCTGAAATCTAAACATCCTATAGCGAATTTAGACTTGTAAAAACTTTTCAGTGTGCTATTTTCCCTTAAGTTTTGGCCCCTAAAAATCCAAAAAGTGGGGACCTTGTGTCCGCACCACTCTTTTGTTTCTTACTTTAGCTCCCTGCATATAATTAAGTGGGAGTTGTCGGCCTGGGACTACGGAATAGTAGAATTATTTAACTCTAGTTCAGCCGTCTTGAATTCATAATGAAATAAATCTGATATCCCAACATTCCAGTCTGTTTTTTCTTACTTACTTTACCGGAATTTTTGTTTCCATGCCCCAAGAACAGAAATATAGGTGGTTTTCTTCGTTCATATTATTATAATTCGTCATAGGGCACATCGCTTCCTTAAAACTTCAACTGAGTGTTTTATTTAGTTTTTTCTTGTCTGCAGCCATCACGTCTTTCACATTTCAAGTCTTCATAGCCAATAGTGTCACGGGTTAACTGACAGACCAATAAAATTTTGACTCTGGAGATAACTAATGCACAGTTTGTCAAACTTCAGTAGTCACTGCCTGTCAACAGTCCACTCCTATTCAAGGCAACAATAATTGTCTCAGCCGGTCGATTAAAACTCTCTATAACATAACATTTCTCTTTTAGGTATCAGTTACAAATCCTTCTCCGGACAGAGATAGCAGTCCTTGTAAATGCTGACGAAAATAGTGCCCTTGCTGAAGAGGTTACATATTATAATTATCATAACTTGAAAATATTTATAGTAATGAGTATTATACACTTCGGCTATTCATCGAAATTTTTCAAAATTAATGTTTTTATAAGTGTAAATGTACAAATAATAATTGTGTTATAAGTTTTGTTGTAACATTTCATGTTCGTCAAAAAAAAATTCTATACTGATGATAGTTTGTATGTAAACTTCCATGTTTTTCATGTCTGAGTCATCTTCATGGGGCGCTAGGGTGGCACGGTGGTGAGAGCGCTCGCCTCTCACCAATGTGGCCCGGGTTCAAATCCCGGCGTCGACGCCACATGTGTGTTGAGTTTGTTGTTGGTTTTCTCGTTTTTCTCCCAGTGGTTTTTCCCCAGGGGGGTTCTCCCGGATTTTAAGTGACAGGGATGATCGATTGGGCGCAACAATCAAAACCCAAAAATCCCCAGGGCTACGGCTTCAAAAAGAAAAAAAAAATTCAAAAATCAAATCCCTGGGCAAAAATTTAACCCCAAATATCCCATCACGAATTTCTGATCCAATTTCAAAAAGCGTTAAATGATATAACACGAAAAATAGAAACGTTAGTAATGGAATCTTTGTGTCTGGTGGTCATTGTTAAAACACTCGTGACACTCAAGAACATATTCTGTTACAAACATGCTTTATGGACTATGTTACTTTATTCGCGAAACTACGCGGCCGGGATAAGCGGGAACTATCACGAATCTTCACATTGTTTTAATTACCCCCAAAAAATCCTACTTAAATCAAGCTACCCAAGAAAATATTTGCCAAAATTTTCCTACCCCAAAAAAGCCTGGAATCGAAAATTTCTGACCCCAAAAAATCCTTTGATCATCCCTGTCACTTGAAATCCGGAATACCCCTCCGGGGGTATTTCTCCGGGTACTCCAAAAAAAACCCCCAACATTTCCAAATTCCAATTCGACCAGGAATATATGGTAGAAGAAGAACTACTACTTGGATTTGCTCCTTCTAAATCGTTATTTATTTATTTCCCTTAGCTGTAGCAATTGTTGTTTTAATGTCCACTCCATAAAAATCTGAAACTACATACATGTCGATTCGTGCCATATTTTTTGAAAGGCGCGTCTCTTGATTGGCCATATTGTGGAATAAGAATTCATGGAATAAAGAGATCAAAGAGATTTGTCCCAAATTTCTGCGTATTCTTATTCCAGAATATCAATCGCGCGCACCTTCAGTTTGCAGACAAACTTGGTGAAGTTTCAAAGACTTAAAATGACTGGTTTGTTAGCAACTAGGTAATTGGCACATTTGAAATGTATGTATTTGCTTATTGCTCTATCTACAGTGTACCATAACCAGTTTTGTGTCTTTTTACCAATGCAGGTGACTGTACTGTTGCGAACAATCTCGTTCGTGAAAGACCCTAATTTCCTTACTGTGTACCTACGTGAGGTACTTCTCAACAGGTAATATTGTTATTTGTTTTCTGGGTCAAGTTTATCTTTTTCCTCTTTCCCTCGCAGCAGTCCTAAGGTACTTGTTACGTTATTATAAGTAAAATTATTACTGGACACTCAAATTTCTAAAATAGTCGTGTTGTTGGTGTTTACTTACGTTTCATGCCAAGGAAGTCTTGAGCCAGGGAAATCTTGAATGTCAGATTTAATTTAATTTAAAGCATTTATATAGAAAACTGATGTCAGTGGATCCAAACAGCGTTTCATTTGAAATATCAGTGGGACACCTTGGTCCAGGTCAGAATTTTCCGGAAAAGAAAATTATCGACCTCCGCAGACCATCCACTTTGCCAAACTTTGGCCGCATGGTTGACCCGATTGAAACTAAGCATTATGAAGAAATGCTTGTTTTCAGTCCCATTTCACTATGAAGTAACCAAAATTTCGGGCAAAACATATATGCTTGAAAACGCTTTTCTTTTCCACTGGTCTCTGACAGGTCAGTCGGGCATAATGAAAGGCACCCTGTCTTCTGTCCCAATATGTTAAACTGCTCTGTGTTGTCATTTGGAAACTGAAGTGTACTTTGTTGTTATGTACCTTTTGACCGTTCCCTTCCCTCCCCTCCCACAGGTACAGCCGTAGTCTTCCTAAGTTCTTGTGTGGTGTCTATGAGGGACTGATGATGCGCCCGCCAAGAGAGGTGTTGTCGCCGTCTAGATGGTCCAGTGATGAGGAGTCGCCTGTCAGACGCTCTGTCAACTCTGTCTCCAGTGCGAAACAGGACTCAAGTCAACCAAGGTAACTTAGTGCACCGTTACAGAAATACAAGGGAATCTACGCGCCGGTAAAAAAGGGTAAAAAGAAATAAAACATCCTAAATTCCTCTAGGCTAAATCAGGCGTTAAACAGACACAAGTTTTGAAACTGACTGAAGTCTGTCGTATTCTTCTGCCCCCTATTCCTAAATTATTTCAATCAATGACCAAATCAGGGGGGACCTGTAAACTAGCTGGATAAGCAAAGTGCACCTTCCACTAGTACTATAAACAAGCCTTTAAACCTTTTTTTAACAAAGGCTATCAATTGATTGATAAATTTACTTTAGGAGCAGCGGATGTCGTATTCTGACCCGACATATGAGTATTTCTGATGTGGCTGGGAAAAGAAGAGAAATCGTGGTGCCTGCAAGAGCGAAACCTAAAGAAAAAGATAAGAAAAAGAAGGAAAAGTCACAGGGGAATAATATTGCAAGAGGTTTGAAAACTATGTTAAATTGCCGAAGTGTTAGCTAAATACTTGTACGTATGTAGTGTTACACTTCTGTCACAACACACTTAAAAAGAAAATATCTTTTGCTATCCTAGGCCGACTGCACTGTTAAGCAAGGAAACCCCTTTAACACTTGTTTTCTTTTCGCAAAGGGAACCAGCCATCGACCATCTCTGAAAAAAAGGACGACTTTTGGAGTACGCTGTCATTCTTTATTTTCTAATACTCCATAAAACACTCCGTTTGCCTCTCCCTTTTTTGCATAAACTATTCAGTGTTTTTAAGGTGACTCGACCCAGTTTTTTTTGGGGGGTACCATCCTACTTTGAAGCTCTCTGGTATCCTCACCTTTACTTTTATCGTGAGTCTAACACATAGAATGGATAACATATAGATCAATCTACAATATAACATAAAATTTTTATCGATCGGAGTAAATGTCACGTGGTTATAACGCCACGCCCCTTTGAGGTCTGAGTCGAAAATCTGCTGTTGCCGGCATTTTTTCGTGAAAATCTCTCAGCTACATATAGTGCGCATTAGTGCCTTGCGCTGACCAGAGTTTCACCAAAATCGCAAAGACCCAATTCGAGAAATTCAGCGGTTTCCAAATTTAGGTCATAATTTATGCGAAAATGATAAGCAAAGTTTACACGGATTATATCTAATAAACTATGAGATTCATCTCTTTATTTTGGGCATCCTTATGATAATTTTGATACAGTGAGACAGGCCATCGCGTGATACATAGACGTTTAACTCACAATTTTTAATCAATTCTCGTGCTTCTTGTGCCTTTGCAAAAAAATCAAGAAGTGCTACACACTAAATCTCCTTACTATTAGAAAAAATATCATTTTTTCATAGGTTTAATGCAGGCCAATAATTAAACCAACTCGTGACGGGAATCCCTTCTATTTTCTTATACTAAATTATCATATCTCGGTGAGCATTCGGAAGTCAGCCAAGCGTGGTCATTGCACGCGTGCTGAACAAGAATGCTGTATCATGACAGACTAGAAACAATAGACAACTCCCAAAGCACAAACTCAGCGAAAACGCTAAAAATCTTCAATGTTTACTAAAGTTTGGGCTTATAGAAGATAATGTCACAGTTTTTCAATGACCATGAAATTCAGAGTCCGGGTAGTTAGTTAATCAATTGTGGCCCTGAAAAAATTTGAAGGAAAAAAAACTACGAATTTTTAAGAAAATGCTTTTTTCGTGAGAAGGACTCTTAAACGCTGACAAACGTCAACAAATAGCGAAAACTATAATTTTCTATATGTTTGCTTTGCTCGAAATCGCGCGCATTTACAAGGCCCTAAAGCGTTTTGCTGACTTGCAAGGACCCATCTGTTAAAAAGATGCCCAAAATTCAGAGATGAATCTCATAGTTTGTTAGATATAATCCGTGTAAACTTTGCTTATCATTTTCGCATAAATTATGACCTAAATTTGGAAACCGCTGAATTTCTCGAATTGGGTCTTTGCGATTTTGGTGAAACTCTGTTCAGCGCAAGGCACTAATGCGCACTATGTGTAGCCGAGAGATTTTCACGAAAAAATGCCGGCAACAGCAGATTTTCGACTCAGACCTCAAAGGGGCGTGGTATTGTAACCACGTGACATTTACTCCGATCGCCAAAAATTTTATGTTATATTGTAGATTGATCTATATGTTATCCATTCTATGTGTTAGACTTACGATAAAAGTAAAGGTGGGGATGCCAGAGAGCTTCAAAGTAGGATGGTACCCCCCCAAAAAAAACTGGGTCGAGTCACCTTAAATGCTCCTGGGAGCATATTCCCAAGAGTACCTGAAAACAATAACAAGTGCAAAATTATCATTGGGGGATTCAAAAATAGTCACTGAGTACTGAAGATGACTCGGGATTAATATTTCGCTCCTCTAAGAAAAGGACGAAAGGAATAACTGGTGCATAATTTTCAAGACAGGGTTTTTGCGTATTTGGTTTCTTTAGTGGAGATGTTTCCTATTTTTATGAACAGTGACTACCTACAATGAATTACCCACTTTATAGGAGTAAGCAAGAAGCAGGAGAAAACCGCTAAGGCCCAAAAAACACCGGTGAAATTGGTGAGACGGAATCTTTTTACGGAATCAGAGGGAGCTGATGAAAATCAATCAGCCGACAGAGTTCCAAGGAAAAGAAAACTTTCAGAGGGAGGGAAAAAGGATGAGAGAAGACGCCGGTTTCATCGGAGAAACACTGTGGGTGAGTTATAAAATACAAGAGCATTGCCTTCCGAACATGAAATCTTCCCTGTTGGCTTTCCTCAATGCAAACAGTTTTTCTTTCTATGCCGGTATTCGCTTTGGTCTTGCGCGGCTCAAAACATTTTTGGGACCGATGCCGGTCGTGTTGACCGGCCAAACAAGTTTTTGCTTGGTCACGTCTCTCTTCCGACCGTTCAAAATGTTAAAAGAAAGCACAATAATAACTCGAACGCTCTAACGTAACAAGCAAAAACAAAATGTGAAAAAAACGCTTGCCCTCTTGAAACCTAATGGTTTGAAAGTGTATTTTTTTCTTTTCTTGTGGCTTATTAACGTGTCAGGTCAAGATGACCGGCGAACCGAAAGTTTGCCCGGACAAATGGTCATCTTGGCTGGACATTGTCCGTCGAGCAGCCGGCGCTATTTTGAGCCCTGGTCTTGTAACTTTTGCTTGGTGTAAATTTTATTATGCTGCCAAGGTTGCAATCTCAAGATTTTCTTTTAAGCTTCCTTACCACTTTCCTTTCTTTTTCATTGCTGTATCGCGTCGGACTCACTCTCCGGTGGTCCCGGGTTCGTGTCCCTCTGTGACCATTATATTTTATTGGAAACGAGGCTGCACTGGCAATGGCCATCGATCAACCTCGTTTCCAGGAGCAGCCGCCTAGTCGTTTATTTACGAGTGAACTAAAAAAATGGAGTTTCTGACTAAAACTGCACAGAAGAAATGCCAGACTACGCAAAACATACTGCTTGGTGGATGTTATCCACTTTGTAAGGAGTATCTGGAAGAAAAACTCTTTTATATCCTGAAACCGCGCCGAAAAATAGGCCAAAGTTTAGAAGAAAGTCTACGAGGAAGTAAGCTTGTTAATCCTCTTCGACCTGTACATTTCTTCACATCCTATTCAGCCTAATTCAATTGCTAAATAACATATGATTACTTTTGTCAGTACTTCAGTGTATAGTACAGAACAGGGGTAATTTTCAGTGAAACTTTTATCAAGGGAAAGGAAATTTAGTTCGAGTAAGCAGGGAATTCGAGTTATCTGAGTTCGAGTTAACCCGCGTGGGGTGAAATCCGAGGGAAATGGATTTAGTTCAAGTTAGCTGGGACTTCGAGTTATCCGAGTCCGAGTTGTCGGGGTTCTACTGTATTTGGATTATTTGATTTTAATTACTCTAATAAATTGTCTGTATACTAGCTGGAAAACTAAGTGCACTGCCCTGTTAAACCGTTTTAGATGAAAAACGTTTTAAATTCATTTTCAGCTTCATTCTCAAAAGCCTCTGTCCAAGAGACACCAGCCCACAAACAAGTGTCTAATGCTTTGTGGCGTAAACAGGATCGTGCCAGGTGAGACTAAAGAATACCAAATAGGTATTGAGATCATGAGTTTATTGAATTAGATACCATCTTTAGAAAAAAGAAGACCTTTTTGTTGATTCAAAGAATAAGGAGTTTCTTTCTGTTCAAAACCTGTTTTGATGTGTTCCGGATCTGACACCACGTTAAGCCAAACCTGGCAATTCTGTTTGGTCTTAGTCGCCTTTATGAGCCTTTTGAGCATTGACCCTTAATCGATTGCTGGTATGATCGCGCGATCTGAGAGAAAAACGCAAAGTTGGTCCCAGATGGACAAAGACACCAGGAAAGTCTTCGGAGGACGAGCTTTTGAGCGAGGAAGTGGACGACTTAGCGGTAGAACCAAGATCGTCAGTGGTGGTTTATTTGCTGTCGTACAAACCATGAACAAGAACAATGTTCAGGTTCCCGGGCCATTTCGTACGTGACTCACCAGCTTGAGATCAATGACTCAGAATTCCAATCAAACTTCACCTTACAGGTTAGGTAAGGTGTAAGGTTCGGTGAAAATAGAATTGTGATACAATTGCACGAAAAAATTGCTTACCCCAGTACTGCAACAAGGACTTCAGATAAATTAGCATCGCTGTGTTCAGTAGTTCATCAAAACCCTCCATTGTTTCGTTTGTGTTTCAGGAAACGTTCTCGTGTTGATTCCGAGGTGCATGTGTTACAGGAGTCGCCATTGAAGGAGCTTCAAGCAGGTTAAGTGTCTTCTTGATTGACTCTGGAAGCGACAGAATTTCAAGCTATAAGATATTAACTCAGTTCTCAAAGATGACCTCCTTAGTTTGATTTTGGGACGAACTGTGCAGCACTGGCGCAAACGTTTCCCATCGCGCTGAACTATTTAATATTTTGCGCATCAATGAGGTTCATAAAGTTGACTCGTTAATCACGGAGTTATTTTGTTATAGGCTACCGTAAGTCTTAAAAATCGACGGTTTAAACTTGAGATATTCAAGTCGCGGTGTGATTTCTTCGACCTGCAATCATCCATTGTGTACATATACCGGGGAAAAAGATGAGAAATATCAGGACGAGATATCCTCATACGAAGTAGTAAAGTGGTACTACTTAGTAGTAATTGGCGACTTAATGTTAGGTTGCTGAGAAGGAAATAACTTTGGTTGAATTTAGACTTTGGTCAAATACTTTTCCTTCCTTCTGTCTTAGTTTCCGTTTTTAAACCAGACGAGTCTAAGACGACTTTAACGTCTCTATGAAAACGGCCATTAGTTCATCAATGCTACCCATAGTGCTCGTCGCTCCTTAATTTGAGACTAAAGTTGCATCCCTTTCTCTCTCTTTGCAGTAGACAGCCTTCCTCGCCGTAGCCCTCGAAGACACCCTGGGATGATCTTTCAGCGGAGCCAGTCATTTTATGGTCGCTCCAGCAGTGCTGGCCCACTGACCAGAACCCGGTCCTTTACTGGTGTAAGGCCTCGCGAATCACCGAAGAAGGAGCCCACCGAAGCATTGGAAAGTCCTGCTAGAAAGACGCCACAAAAGTTGACCTTTGCAGCTGTATCGCCGTTGCGGTTTTCTCCTAGGCACAAGCGAAAGTTTTCGCTTCACAGCGTGTTGAGTACGGCAAAGGAATGCGACCAAAAAGAAGACAGTTCACAGAAACCTCATAAACCGACTACACCTAAAAGACAAATAAAGGCTCCCACTAGATCATCTCCAAGGCTCTTAAAAAAGCGCTCCTTCTCCTGTATCGGATTTTTGTCTGTTCCGTTTCCTGGGGATAAGGAGCAGACGTTTAATCCAGTCGGTGTAGAGTCACCTGTCCGGGGTTTTCCACAGATTACTGCCGGGCACAAATCCCCGAGGTTAAAAGGCCACACACAGTCACATGATCCTGAGTCACTGGAGCAATTGGATAGGCTTCCAAAAGCACACGATGAGAACCTAGGGACACCCATGAAGAATATGACTAGTCCAGGTGTTCGCAGCTCGCCAAGATTACTGGAGAAACGTGATAAGGGCGAATTGTCCAAAGAAGTAGCAAGAGACTCTTCGTGTAAACCAACAGATTCCAAGGTCGCCAAGCCTGTAATGGCTTCTCCAAGCCCAAGTAAACAGAACGTGACGGTACCTAAAACCCCAGTGAGAGATCATCGTTTTGAAGAGTGCGTGGTGCGTTTGACTCCTTTAAGGGGACCGTTAACATCCCCAGTGCACATAAGACCTCAAGAGTTCAATGAAACTATTGTTAGCCCAGGTGAAAAGAGGAGTAGCTTGAACGAGACTACACAGAATGGTGAAAGTTCACCGCATTCATCAACTAGACTTTCAGGAAGTTCGTTTGACTTCCCTGAACACCAGGGTAAGCGCTTGTCACTAAAACTGAGGAAAAGGACCCCGATGAGTAAAAGCGCAACAGAATGTACGGGATCTACGAGCCCAGGCACGGAATGGTTCATTTGTTTAACAGAGGAAAGTCAAGAAGACTGCAAAGTCTCCTCAACATCCTCACGGTCATCATTAACCCCTGCAGAAGGAAAGCACAGCTCCGAAGCTCAGTTCAAGTCGCCTGGTTTATCTCGTGGATCGCTTGAAAAAGGAGGGCACTCTCAAGTTCCCACACAATGTAAGTCACCTGATTTGATTCGTGGATCGTCTGTGTCAAGAGGGAACGGCCCTTTAGCACAGTTCAAGTCGCCTCCTCGTAGATCGCCTGTGAGAAAATGCTCGTTGCAGAATCATTCTCCGCAGCACTCAACTCCTCCTGTCAAGAAAGGAAAAAGGAAACGCAATGGTCACTCAATCGGTGCATGCAATTCAGCTGCTGGAAGCAAGAGCTCAAGTCCACTCAATCAGCTTTTACGCCAGCAAAAACGAAAGCGGTGCTTCTCAAGTTCTCCAGTGGACAAATGTTCCAGCGAGTCTATTTACTCGCGTGACACCCCAAGCAAAAACGTGAGGGCGAGGACTTCATTGCAAGGGGTGAATACCAAGGTACCTAGTCCTATTGCTATTGAGAATATTTCTAGGTCATCGACAAAGGAGGATGGCTGGCTTACAGAAATGGATAATAGTTTGCAACGGCCAGGAATTGAAGAAAGCCAAACTGCATCCTCACCTCCGAAGAAAAAGCGAAGAATTGACAAATCTGTTGTCTTTGGTGGAAAACATACTCTAAAAGAAAAGAAAACCAAAAAGGAAAGGGCAAACTCCTCCTTAAGCAGTGACACCAGTTTTGAAGAGGAAGACGAAGTGTGTCAAAGTCCAAGCTCAATGGCTTCCAGTCTTAGGCGGCGTCACATGAACAAGACACCATTATCTGCTAGCAGCATTAAAATTTTACAAGAATCGCCATTACTTTGTAATAGCACAGGGAGTAAACACACTCGGAAAGCAGAGAAGGCGAAAAAGGAAAATGCGAATTCCTCTTTAAGTAGTGACACCAGTTTTGAAGAGGAAGACGAAGTGTTTCAAAGTCCAGGCTCAGTGGTTTCCAGCCTCAAGCGGCGTCACATGAACAAGACACCATTATCTGCGAGCAGCATTAAAATTTTACAAGAGTCGCCATTACTTTGTAACAGTACAGTATCTCCTCCTTCTCGCTTTCGGAATTTTTCCGATCTCTCCCCGAAATCTGAGCGGTACGGTGGAAAGGGGAGACTTTCTCGGCGCAAATTTGGGATCTTGTCTGGTCACAACAAGGAATGTGTTTCTGATGCCTTTGTCGAGGACCAAGAGGAACCCATAGGCTTCAATTTGAGAAAACGACTGAAAGTGAGCACAAGTTAAACTGTTGAATATTATTGAGCGAATTGTAGATTCAAATGACAATAGGCCATTTTCGAGTTGCCTCGAGCCTCTGTTTCAAGCAGCGCCAAGTGCAAATCTATTGATATGAAAGTAATTTTTTATTCTCACAAGAATGGTTTTGCACTTTGACTCGTTTTGAAAATGAGAGTTTTTGGAACTCGAAAAAGGCCTTTTATGATATAAATTTAACTCAGTTCTTCTATATATTTATTTCTACTAATACTGTGTTTTGTAAGTATTTTTTTTAAACGATGTGTATAGTGTGAGATATTGGCTGCTTTTACGTGGTATTCGTAGATTATTTTTTTGAATGATAAATGAAGAGGTACTTCAGTATAACAGTTATTCATTCCTTCCTCCAACGCCATCTCCTGCACAATGTTATTTTTAAAAGCGCAAATACCCTGTGTCTGGGAGAAAGTGAAACGAAGGCTGCAGAAAAAAGCCACGGGCTCTTGAATTAGGGGTTTGGCCAGCTGAGCAACTATTAAAACAATTCAATCAATAGAATGATCTGTCGTGGTGTACAGGGTGTTATTGTGGTATTAGAGAGATTTAGTAGGTAGGTTGAGTATGATCTTCCGGGTGAACGTAGTCCTGAATAGGACTGTTGTTGTTGACAGTGACTGACGTTTCGACAACCTGTGAGGTAGTCATCTTCAGAATCAAAGAGAGTTGTATCACGTCAGCTGATGTCATTAAACTCTGGTTATTGACCTGATTGATCAATTAATATGTTAAGTTATAAGTGGTCTGTCAGTTAAGCCGTGATTTTATTTGCCAGTTCAATAACCAGAGTTTAATAACATCAACTGACGTGTGTAAGTAAAGTAAAACTTTATTTGCACAGGGTAGCCCATTCAGGTCTAAGGCTGGTCTCCATAGGGGCCCTGTATCTTAAAAAAATCAACTTACATTAAGAATTTTCATGAACTATTAGTTTTGAAAAGCCTAATAAGAATACAATAAAATTTAAGAACTACATTAAAAAGCCTAAAAATACAATGCAAAATCACATTTAAAGCCTGAAATATAGTAAAATATCAAAGTTTTGATAAAAAGAAATGTCTTGCTCGGCGGCAGAACGCTTGAATGTTTTCACTCTTCACAATGTTTAAAGAGAGTTTGTTAAAAATTTTGCGCCAGTAAACAGAAAGATCCTGTTCCCAAAGTTCTGTTTAACGTTTGGTAGGGATAGCCTCATACTTTTGCCTTGTAGAATAATTGTGAATGTTCGAAAATCTACTAAAATATAATGAAAAGTAACTAGGAACTAATGACTGAAAGCAGAGAAAAACGAGTTTAGCCTTGATACAACTCTCTTTGACTCTGAAGATGACTACCGCACAGGTGTTGGAAACGTCAGTCGCTGTCAACAGCAACAGTCCTATTCAGGACTACGTTCACCCGGACGATCATACTCAACCACAGAAGTCCTTGAATATTTTTTGAAAGCTCCTTGTCACAGAGTCAATACTCAAATCCTACTCAGATAGCTACAAAGTTTAATAATTTCTTTGCTAATGTTGGTCCTTCTTTGGCAAATAAAATCTCTCCCACTCAAATTACGTATAGAGAGTTTCTGATCGGTCATTACGCAAAGTGTTTCTATCTTAACCCAACTTCTCCCACTGAGGTTGATAATGTAGGCCATTCTCTAAAAAAATAGTAAATGTGAGGTTTTTGATGGCCTCTGTATTTTCCCTATAAAAGATACTTTTGATTTAATAGCTGCCCCTTTGACCAATATCTGTAATCTGTCATTTTCTCAAGGTGTTTTTCCAGATAAGCTCAAAACAGCCAAGATCCTTCCCATTTTCAAATGTGATGACTCTTCCTTGTTCTCTACCTACAGGCCTATTTCTATTCTCCCCTGTCTTTCCAAGGTCTTTGAAAAACTCTTTTACTTCAGATTGTCTGCATTTCTTGAAAAATTTGACATTCTTGGTCATCATCAGTATGGCTTCAGACCACATCATTCTACAACTATGGCTATCCTCGAATTTGTAAACAATATATATGAAGGCTTTGAAAGTAATGAATACACTATTGGAATTTTCTTAGACCTCAAGAAGGTATTTGATACTGTAAATCATCAGATACTTATTGACAAATTAAACTTTTATGGTATCCGTGGTATTCCTCTAGCTTGGCTCACCAGCTATTTAGACAACCGACAACAGTATGTTATGGTCAATGGTCATGTTTCTTCTAATAATACTGTTATGTGTGGGGTCCCTCAAGGTTCTTTTCTTGGCCCTTTATTATTCCTCTTATACATTAATAATCTTTTTCTTTCTTCAAATTATCTTTCATTTATTCTTTTTGCTGATGACACCAATATTTTTCTTCGTAATAAAGACTTGGCTACTTTAACTAGAAGGTTAATCAAGAGCTTTCTCATGTCTCCTCCTGGTTTAACGCAAACAAGCTTACTGTTCATCCTGATAAATCCAAATTCATCATCTTCCATCCACGACGTAAACAGATCAATCCTTCAGAGTTAAACATCTTAATTAATAACACCCCTATAACACGGGTACAGGAACATAAATTTCTTGGAATAATTATTCACGAAAACCTTTCATGGAAACCGCACATCACTTCCACCTGCGATAAAGTCGCTAAGGTTATAGGAATTTTGTCTAAATCGAGACGATACTTCCCTTCGGTCACTCTAAAAACCTTATATAATTCCCTCTTTCTACCTTATATCAACTATTGTAACCTCATCTGGGCATCTACATATGCCTCCTACCTTGAACCCCTCTATATACTCCAAAAGAAAGCCATTCGAATTATCACCTTTTCTCCTCCAAGAACTCGTTCTAAGCCTCGTTTCTCGAAGCTTAATATTCTTTCTCTCCATTCACTTTATAAATTTCATGTTTCTTGTTTTGTATTCTCACACTTTAATCGCCTCTTTCCTCCCTCCTCCACTTTAATCGTGATTTTCATGATTATCTAACTCGTTCTCGTTTCAACTTGCATAAATTGTCCCTCAGGTATCAATTTGCGATTAGTTCTCAAACCCCGACTATTTGGAACGATATCCCCTTGACTGTCCGTGACAGCCTTACCACTACTAACGTCAAAAAGAAACTAAAACTTCACTTTTTAAGCCTAAATTGAACTAGCGCAGGATTCTCATAGTTTATTGTTAGTGTATTTGTCACTAGTTATGGACTGTTATAGGACTGCATGCATGTAAACTTATTTAATTTCAGTTCTGTATCTTATTTTAGTTTTGTAGTTTAGCCTACAGTCTTCATTTCTATAAATAAAATAATACAGTACGCAAATTTTCTTGGTAATCGTGAAAGTGTGTTTTCTTATGATTCCAATGTTCCCGGCATAGTTCATTTTCCGTTGTTTGAAGTACCCTGGGAACCGTGCCTTCCTGGGGGAAGGTATTGCAATAAGTAAACCTCCCTCTACCTTCGAATTTGAAAGATCTTTACTTCATGTCATTCTATGTCAAATTACAGGGAAAACAGCCTAGTCCCTAGGCGTTCTCGGCGCGGTCAATCCTTGGACTCTACTGTGAGCTGTGACGTTACCGAGAGAGACTCGCCCGCTTTTTCCCAGACTTCGGGCGGACAACGGGTCAAGAGAGAACGCTTAAGGACTAGGCTGCAGGGAAAAGAAGTCCTTGAAAAAATTATCTTAGTCCTCGAAAAGTACTTTAGGGAAAAAAAACTATTAAGTTACCCCCCTCTTCCCCTCTCACTCCGTACAATGGTCCAGCCCTGCCCACTATTATTAAGCTAAAAAATGATATAAATAAATAAATGAATAAATAATATTTGATAAACAAAATTGAATTTGAGTCTTTCTACACTTGTTTCTTACCTTCAAAAGAAAGTAATTTCTGAAGTTTTAAGAGCGACTTGTCGGGAAAGAAATAGGTGATGCTTAACTTTATTATTTTGTGATTAAATATTAATTAGAAATTGACATTTGTAGCGCAAAGAAGTTAGATTTCGTGACATTAGATTTCACAATAATGTAGACAAAGTCCAAGTATATTTACGATATAAAATGATGTAACTGCATGCATTTTCTTAGGCTGAATAAGGTGAAAGAACGTGCGATTTTGTAATAGACACTTAATTTAGATACATTACAATGGGAACTTTTACTGTACATGTGATTAATGTAAATATACTGCCTTACGTAAGGATAGTAGAAAACTCACTGTACACTTGGAATGTTTTAGTTGATCGTTGATCGTTTAGTTACGTTGATCGTTGTGTTACGACCGTTGAATATGTGAGAATTGTACATCGCAGTAGATCGTTGGATTGCATTAAATCGTGTTGTTACATCGAAAGATACAGTCCTCTTGATTTGTTTGAACCAGCGGAGCGGGGTTAAAAGAATTCCGCAACACGACTGTCTGTGAATATCGACGAAAATCGACTTTTTGTGGCACAAGTTCAAAATTCGCATTTCGCTCATTTTTGGCTCATCGATAACCCTTAATGAGTAATGAAACATGCTGTAGTTTGTTTTCCCAAATAACGTGTTTTTTTGTTAAAATTCGAGAAAACTCATTTTGCCCATTCAGAGCTCAAAAATCCACTTCAGGTAAAACGAAATTTTACACAAATTTCATTGACTCGTACGTCAAACCACAGCGATTTGTCAGCCTTTGAAGAACACGAATATTTTTCATGACCTTTTCTTTCTTATAAGACGATAAATTTGTGAAAGCTGTAAAAAGTTTGTGGCCAAAAAGGTATTGTTAAAAATAGGCCCTGCTATTGACAATTTCACCGGTTCAAAATTATATGGTTAAAATAATGTAAATTTTTACAATGCGCAAATTGACTTTCTACGGGTTAACTAGGCCCCAATCTATCAGAAAATCGAAACAAATCTCTGGGCAAACGATTTTAAGTAGCCTGCAAGACGCCGAGTTCAACCCTAATTTTGCGAAAAATCGCGACATTCCAGTGGTTAAAAATAGCTTGTCC